AAGACCAAGTTCACTGACAAACCGTTTTTGTACTTATTTTTTAAATACGATCGGTCACTGAGTTTCTCATGCAGGCTGAGCGTGAAAATAGTCTTCCACCCCTACTTCCTGCATTAGCCTCCGATAGAAAATAGATGGGGGATGCTAGGATTAGAAAAGCCAGTCAGGTCTACGTCACTTTGTAAATTAGCAATCATGGGCTCGCCATCTTGGCTCGTGATCGGGAAGGCTGTTTGATTTGGTGTGCAGAAGAGAGCAGAGCATGTCTCAGCTAGTAGAAGCTAATTGTTAGCGTTAGCAACTCCACCACACAGTAGAACTCCTTCAGGCTTGTGTTATTTGTGGAGATGAAACCTCCACGTTGCAGAGCAAACTGAGTCAGTGGTAGAGTCACGTTGCTGTTAGCCAATCAGAGGGCAGTATGTCAGAACATCAGGAAATAAGACTCCAAAACCTGCCGTCCTGTACTCACCTCTGCCCTGGCTGTGAAGCAGGAGCACCAGAGCTCTTTTCTTACTGCAGATGTGACAACAATGTATGAACTTGGTCTCTAAGTAAAAAATGGATGAACATTTTTTCTAACTTATTTCTGTGTTTCAAAGGTGAGGCCCCCGTAACTCCTACTAGTAAACTGAGAACCCTCACATGTGTTTAAAAACCTCTGATATTACTAAATATCTACAGCCTTCAGTTTTCTGATGTTAAGCTAATAAACTAAATGATGTTTAGTGGTGCAACAGACATCTGAACCTGCTTGGTTTTACCTGTTTCCTGACTAAACCCACTTCCTGTTTACCTGCTGAGATCTTCTGTGGGAGAGGGGAGTGTAGTAGAGTAGTGGCTGATGGACTGGGAGTAAGCGGTCGAGCCGCTGCAGCTCTTCTACTGGCATGGTGACGGCTTCCTGTGGGATTCAGGTCACTCAGACACGTAAAGTCTTCTGTTCTTCACCACCTCTTGTTTGTTTCCAGTCTCCTGAAACCACTGAGGATGTGCGGTACATCGATGCCTCCAGCGATCCAGGTGTGTGCCTCTGTTTTTTAGCCCTGATTCACTTTGTAACAAGCAGAGAAAAGCAGCAACTCAGACAAACGGTGTGTGTATATTTTATTCCCTTTAATTCAGGTGACTACCAGGGATAAGCAGCTCCTATTGGTAGGCTTCTGTGTTCACGTGTGTGTCTCTCTGTAGGGCTGATGTGTGACGGGTTTGCTTTGCTCTCTGCTTTTGTAATAAGATCAGATGCTGGAGTAACCCAGCGGACCCTGAGACGCTTTTTGTACTCCTACAGGATGTTTCTGCCTCCACTCTCTTACTGGTGCTCTGAAATCTGTTAAACGACGAGATTCACGTTTATGAGTCTGATCAGAGCTGTTAGTCACCACTGAGCTCGGTGTTTCTCAGATCAGTCCCAATCTCCCAAAACATTACCACTAGTCCTTTTGGGGGTGCTGGAATTTCTATCCCAGAAGTGGGCGGAGACTCTGGGAAGGGGAAATTGTTCCTCTGGTCAGAATCAGGATGAAAATAGTGCATGGGTTTGTTTTCTGGTGTAACTAATGATTAGGAGCTCTAGGTGGTTCCTACAGGCTCATGAGAACATCCAGAGGAAAACATAACCAGGAAGTTAAAATGTAGAGGACAAAAAGGTCAAAGTTCAACTTGGTCAAAAGGAGAACAGAACCGCACCGTTCTCCTGAAAACAGACTAGATCAGCTTCAATCCTTCACAATAACCCCCAAGATTCCACCACCTCCGCTCCGCCCCTGCCTTCCGCAGCTGCTCACTTCCGAACTCAATTTTTACTGGTACCCGCTCTACAACGGCTTCGCTCCGGTGCGGAGACCTGAGGTGCGCACACAGGCATGCTCGGGATTTTCGAGATCTTGTGACACAGTCCGAGCAATAAACGCGGAAGTTATATCCAATCACCCGTTGTGTGGGAGAAGCATCGAAATGAACTGTTTAATCTGCCCATCATTTGTGTTGAGAGATCAGCAATGTTTGGATCAACAAAGTGTGACTACTTTGATAGTCGAAACTGTATTTATGGCTTACTTTTGTGCATTTAAACTTCAGCCGCCATTGATAGTTGTTAAAAGTTGTTAAACCTGTGCATTTGAAACAAAAAACGCCTTTTGTTTATCGATTTATTGTGAAATAACTGAAGCTGTGCTTGCTCCTTTTCCTGTTGGGCGGTTGTGATTCCTGTCCATTGACTGCGGAGGTGCTCCGGCGTCCGGCAAAAATAGGATCGATTCTATTTTTGCCGGAAGCCAGAACAGAGGGCAGCGCACTGCCGCAGCACGGCCGCAGTAGTGGAATAGCTCTGATTGACTACAACGGGACCGATTTTGCTGCGGAGTTCGTGCCGGAGTGGAGGTAGTGGAATTTGGGGATTAGAGTCATCCACACACTTCAAAACCTCTGAAGATTATAAAAGATGTTTCTACTGTTTTCCAGTAAAACTCATGCTGCAGCTTAACCCACGGGTACCTCTGAGTGCCTTTATTCATGAGAAAAGCTTTTAATAAAGTGAACACAAGGCATTGTAGGTGTTGGAGGCCTTCGTGCTGATGCTGCTTTCGTTTTTCATTTCCTGTTTTCTCTCAGAATTTGCAGCAAACTTCCTAAAGAACGATAATTACTTCCCTAAGCTTCAGATGCTTACATGAAGGAGTGTAATTCACCAAAAAGCTGCATCATGTTTTTTACAGTTTACTCAGCAATTAATACCAGCTGATGGCATGTTGGAATAAACATATTAACATGCACATTTGAAGGAATTAGTTTCAGATAACATGTCTGCATGCTGTACAGGTCCTCTGGTCCCCTAAGGGCAAGGGTGGGCAATCCTAGTCCTCGAGGGTCACCGCTATCCTGCATGTTGTAGGTGTTAACCTGTTTCCTGAACGAATCACCTGTGTACAGCTCACCGGGCTCTGCAGCAGCCTGTTAATCACCAGCAGATTTAAACCAGGTGTGTTTAAGCAGAGAAGCAACTAAACCCTGCTGGAAAGCGGCCCTCGAGGACCAGGATTGCCCACCCCTGCCTTAGGGGCAGGAACACTAAAGACAGCCTGAATCCTGGTAAACGGGACCGATCATAGTTTACTGAGTGCATGTAAAGACTGAAAAATAAGCAAAGATGGGGTGTCTGGTGCTTCATCATTAACTTTACAAGCTTCTGCTTCGGTTTCACCACCTCTGCTCCTGCTCGTCTCCAGCTGCTGCTCTGATTGGGGGACGTCTCTTGCAGGTTTATGGGAACCTTCTGTCTTCTCAGCAGCTGTAGTCTTTCTGCTCACATTGTTAAAACAACAAAATGAATGCCTTCGGTTTGACTGTGTTGACCTCTCGTTGACCTTTGTGTGTTGCAGTGCACATCGTGAGTCCAGAAGTGGAGATACCCACCCCGCTGCCCGCCACCTCGGCCTTGGAGGAAATGGCCTTGTACAGCAACAGACGCAAGCTGAGACAGGGCCGCCGCAGCCTGGAAACCGCCGTGCCCACATAGCACCTCCCCGACTGGAGAAACCGAAAATGATATGCAGATGTTCAGACATGACCAGCCGAGTCAGAGCGAGGCTCAACATATAACCACTGCAGAGACGATGAAGCCGATAGCCGTAGACTCTCCTATATCGCGTGCCAGTCTTGCCTTTCTAGTTTGTGGGTTAGTGTGCGAGCTACGTAACCCCCACCCACCCACCCACCCTCCCCCACATGGGTAATCCAGAGCTAATGCTACTTACAGGTGATGGGTATTAGTTCTTAAATGTTCTGTTTGCCTGGTAGAGTCGGAGTGTTTTTAGTTTATTCTCATCGCATTAAAAAAACAAAACTAAAATAGAAAAGAACGTTGTAGCTAACGAGTGTTTTACTGCTAAAATCTTAGACCTTGGAGATCTGGTTGTAAATAATAATTGCGGAGACAACTTGCTACCTTCATAATCACAACGTGTGGAAGACGATTTTTAAGTACATCACATCTTTCCACTGCCACTGTTTTGCTCTTTTAGCTCCTTTTTATAATTTATTGTTTTTACTGTTTTACTCAGATTAAAGTTTTAATCCATTCAGGCTGTTTGGGCTCCAGATTAGGATCGAGTTATCCTAAAATCAATTAACCAAATATAATTGAGATTACATCACATATCACTACTAAAGTCCACCTTTTCCATTCAGCTGGGTCATTAGATGGCACATGACTAACGGGTCGTATCAGAAATGCTGGTTTCTCACCTCAGCAGGTTTCTACACTGGAGGCAGCCGCCCTGAGCAGGATCAGTGGAGAACATCTAACATTGTTTATTAATGGTACTTACCCTCATTAGGGTAATTATAAATATGTGTGTATGTTTTAATCAATGTGAATCACTAATGTTGCATTAATAGGAGGGTGTGCTGCAGTGATGTGAAGGTAGCAGGCCTTTTATTTTTCTGTTCTAGGGTAATTTAAAGCTGATGCCACTGAAAATCATTTAATGTGTGAATAATGTACAAATACTGAAAGGAAAAGAAGAGTTGGGTTAGAAACTGAGCCTGTGTGGACTGTTGAAGCCGTAGGCGGGGCTTGGTGCTGGGATGCTCTCTTGTATATTGGTTTGTTACTGGGAGAAGCGGAACCAGTGAAGAAATCCCCACATTCAGCTCTTGGGTTGGCAGACCGTCAGCTTATGCATCTCATGGGTGTTTTTACAGAATCACAGCAGTTTAGTGTTTTATGTTGATTTAATAATGCAGGTTTGACTTCTAACTTTTCATGTTGCTCTGACTGAAATTCAGTTCTATAACATATGCAGCTTTTTTTAACTTCCTGTAGTTATTTTCTTCCTTCAGATGGGTTTCACTACATTATTGATGCTGTGTTTCAGATTTTTTTAAATCTTATATTTGGGGGCTTTTACTTGCAAATAGGCCAGAGGGTAAGGGTCAGAAGTCCTAGGGTCAAGGGTTATAGCTCACACAAGACTGTAACTAGTGAATTTGTACAACCAAAGAAGTCTATTTTGTGGTTCAGGAATAATAAAATGTACTTTTCATTTAAGAAGCTATTTCTGTGTGTTGTGTGTTTTGTCCTAAATAAACAGAAAAAAAAACATGTTTGCTGCAGACTGGTATGTGGCTAACTGGTACTCTGAATATGGTCAAAGGGAGAACTAAATTTACCATCCAACCATTCCACCGTGTTTACTCGTGTGGGATGAACTGGGAATAAAACACTAGCATCAATGGAAGTTTGACACCAAATGAAACTTTAATATTTGGAGCCTAAATAAGTGCCCTCTAGTGTCTGAGTACAAATTCACTCATCTAATTAAAGGGGACATTTTCCTGATTTAAAAATAAACATCTGAGCTTTCTTCAAAAACATCTGCAAAAGCCTTTAAATGGTCTCAGTCTAATTCTGTAGGCTACTCAATCATGGGGAAAACTTTGACACGTTGCTTAAACCCTTGAAAAATATGCCCTCCTCCTTTTCATCTAACGATCACGGTGAACAGGAAATGAATGCTGCAGAATCTTGTGTCTGCTTTTCTCCTGAGCGGTAAGTCTTGTGTGAGCGCGTGCTCGCAACTCGTTTTTAGACTGAGAAACTGCGTCTACCACTGCCTCAGCGCTGCTCTCCATCCACCAGCCAACGCCTCTATCAGAAGCGTTTCCTAACTGGAAGTGTGCATGAGATATGTCTCCACCCATGCCTTGACTCTCACTTTAATGTAATGTTACTAGGACTAGACAAATATCATGTTTACAGAAATGCTGTCTGAATGATGTTTGCTGAAACTGATTGCTAAACCTGCTTAAGAACGACGCTAACACTAAGCTGAAATCATAATATTAGGGTGATGTAGGCTCCACCCACTCAGTAAATATGCCTCCCCGGCTCCTCCCACTAGTTGGTATTAATTCAATGTGTGTCTTTGATTTTAGGCTCCACTCCACTATACCTATTGAGTTAGGTTTCCCCTGCTGTTTCTATGTCTTGACTAATTTCTGGCTCATAACTTTCTTCAGACTTTTGATCCCAGGGAAATGGATGCTGAGAACGTTTTATACTTAGCCCCTCCAATAAGGCTGCCATTCTCTCATCCTTGTCCTGATTTGGATCTTCCTGCTTATAATCTGATAATAATTGTTTTGTTTCTGCTAAAGCTGTATTGAGCTGTTCTAGCTTATCTGTTAATCGTTCACAGAAAGCTTCACTTTGTGCCAGTTTTTCACAAATTGACTGGTTATATTTTTCCATCTGAGCCAACGTGTTCTGTTCCATCGAAGTCACCTGGGGAATCAACCGTCTTTGTTGCTTTAACCTTTTTAACCTCTAATCATTCGAATTGGAGGTTATGTCCGCATCCAACCAAGCCTGTATATCTTTCTCTTCTCCATTTAACAAAAGGTCTTCTATATGTCTTTGACTTTTCAAGGTTTCTAGCTTGTCCTCAAGTTCCTGAATCTTTCTTTGATTTTCTAATAAATGACCTGAAATATATTTTTTCTGCCCAAGACCAGTAAACGTGTTTATCTTACTACACACTTAAAACTGCTGGGTTAAAAATAACCCAATTTGGGTTGTTTTGTAACCCAGCACTGGGTCAAAAAGGGACCGACCCAGTGCTGGTTGTTTTAACCAAGCAGGGTTGGGTTATGAGTTTGACCCAGCTTATTGGGTTATGCTTTCTACCCAATCAATGGGTTAAAATGACCCAACTGTATAGTTAGGACTACCCAAAACTGGGTTAAAAATAAAACCCCACTTCTGGGTTATTAAATTACTAAAACTTGGGTTAAAGTGACCCAATTTTATAGTAAATACAATACAATAAATAAAACACAAATTGAATAATTCAGTAAAACAAAATGAACATGTCTCAGTCAAATCTTTATCACAAAATTATGTTAATTTTCAAAATACAAAGATAACAAATAAAGTTGCATTTTCTACTTTCTCTAAACACATTCATATTCAAACTTGTTTTGTAAATGACTACTAATTGCATTTTTTAATGACAAATATTAAACATTTTGTAACTTGTAATGTCTTAAACATGTTAAACAACTTTAATGGAAGAACTGTAGAGAAGTAAATGTCCATATACACCCAACACTCACCTTAATGCTTTGGCCAGCAGAACATCAACCTTACATCATAGCAACATGAGCCCTCAGAGCTTCACAGCATTAGATTCATGATGCAAAGATAAATGTCTGAATAAACCCCCAAATCTGTGCACGTGGTTTTGGATAGTTGACATCAACACAAAAAATGTTTAAGAACAGATGGGTATTCCAGTTCCATTGATGATCAAAAATTCTTGGGAACATTGATGGTCTTCTGCAGCCACAAGGACATGTGGTGCTCCACTGTGGTCCCATTCAGGTTCTTCACCAGGCTGGTTCCAGTCTAAGTTGAGGGGGATAGAGGAAAAAAAGAACAGATTTAGGCATAAAGGTTATGATTTCACAAACAGCTGTTGAAACATATTTGGAGTGGGCTGTGAATGATAACTGAAGTAAAAAATAACAGAACTTACAGGTTGGAAGTCAGTGAAGGCCTGCTGAACCTCTGCTTGGCCGGAACGCTCTCCTTCAACTTGTATGGTGCAGTTTGGAGAAGCACTGGCAGCAACAACAAAGCCACATCCACCCATTTGTCTGTAAAATTGAAATGTGTAACATTCATATGACTGTAGCATAAAGGCCCTCTGCTGTTAGCAGGGATGCTACCACTGGTATGAAATAGCCAGAAAGCCTAACGTCCCCCAATAGAGCCCCACTATGTCAGGGAGTGTGGGCAGAAGATCACAACATTTTCCAGAGCACTTGTGCTGTGGATTCTGTGTTACATTCTATCTAAATATATATATATATATATATATATATATATATATATATATATATATATATATATATATATATATATATATATATAAATATCGATGCTAGGAAGCTAAGTAGCCAGCTACCTAATCAAAACTATGAGTCGACTGTCCTTGCTGGTGTGGAGCTCCATTAATGTCCGTGTCATCCTCTGGTTTAAAATGGTGAAGCGGGTTCACAGACAAAGGGGAGGATCTTACTATTTCCCGCATTTTTTTAACCCAATACGCTGGGTCAGAATTTTTAACCCAATGATGTGTTAAATTGACCCAACCTCTAAAATTTCAGCCTTAACCCAGCAGTTGGGTTAGAAAAATAACCCAGCATTTTTAAGAGTGTAGATGGACCCGGTGAATTGAACTGCAGTTCTTCATTGTCTATGGTACTGGGTGAAAAATGTTTAATTGCTCGGTACATATGGACTACCTGAGTATCACACCCTAATTTATAATCCTTTAGGGGTTTGATCTCATCTTGGAGCTCCGTAATTAAAAAGCCCTGTTCAGAAATTGTTTTATCATTAGCAGAAACCGCATCTTTTTCTTGTCTTAATGCAAGAATTAGATCAAGATGTTGCTTTTTCTGTTCTGCAGAATGCTTCTCTTTTAACCTGAGTTTCTCTGCAGAAATGTCTTCTTGCTCTCTCAGAATTTGCTTTCCTAAATCTTCATATTTCTTTTGTATTTTAAACCTCTCCATCTTTAATTTTCTGTTCAGATGAACTAAATCCATTCTAAAAGGCGATAACATGTTGAAAGTAAAGAGTAGATCTGTTCGTCCCGCTGTAAACGTGTGGACTGAGCGGCGAGTCTGATGTCAATGGCACTAGAGCTGAAGAGGTCTTCTTCACGACGCAACAACGCCCTTCATGACGTCATACTGACGTGCGTTCTAAGGGTAGGGTAGTTTTTTTTTCATTATTGTTATTTTTCTTACTCCTGTCTGGATCCGGATCCAGACCGTTTTTTTTTTATTATTATTCCATCAATCAAACAGTCAAAGACATACAAATATGGAAAATAAAACAAAAAAAGATGTAATACATACACAAGAGATTAAAAAGAAGATAAACTAAATAAATAAACAGAAATGAAGTAAACACAAGAGTAATTAAACAAGTACATTAAACAGCGTACAAGTATTCAGAGTTCTAACTGCTTTTTTGTTCTGTACACAAGAAATGGTGGATATATACTGTTCCAGTTCTGTTCTTGGCACAGGAAAAAGGGTTTTTTTATTACAGAGTTTAGATTTATGGATATGGAATTTAGCAACAAATAAAATCAAGTTTATCAGAAAGAGTGCATCATTATTTTTACCACTGCCTCCAAAACAACCAAAAATGACATTTTTATAGTACAGGGAGAAATCAGGAAGAATGTTGTGAATAAAGAATGAACTGACGTCTTTCCAAAACTTGTAAGTAAATTCTTACGTCCAGAATAAATGTGAAGTAGTTTCAGGGTGTAAGTTGCAAAATGAACACTTTACATCAATATCCTTCTTAAACCTACTCAAACATACCTCCGTGGGGTAAAACCTGTGTAGAATCTTAAAAGAGATTTCTTTAATTTTGTTGGTTAAAAGAAACTTCTGTGGTAGGGACCAGACTTTTCCCCAGTCTACGTTATGTCCAAACTTGTCCCAATAGACAGTTGCAGATGAAACAGAGACCAAGTCAGCCTGAAATAAAGATCTAATTTTGGAGTTCGATGTTTTATAGGTAGAAAAACAGACTTTGCCTAGTGGAAGCTGAGTTAGATCCGAAGGTGATGCTGATAACGGAGGACAGACACAAGCCGTCTTAAATAACATGCAAAGACCTGAGGGCACAGCATCAAATACTATAGAAAATTCTTTTGGGCTCATTGGAATTTTATATTTGGCAAGAAAATCTGAATAACTATATAGCAGTCCATTCTCATTAAATAGCTGTCTGACTAGTATAATACCTTTGTTGAACCATTTTTCATAAAAAAGAGACTTGTTCTTATAGACAATATTATAGTTGTTCCAGATATAACATCTCTGTGGAGAGAAGTTGTGCTTGAAAAGCATTGCCCACGCTAAAAAAAACCTGTTGGTGAAAGTTGGAGAGTTTAACTGTAATTTTCTGTATTTTGTAATTAGAGAGCAGAATAAATTTTAGGCCACCTAATTGTGAAAAGACATG